GGTAGCAACATGAAGCTTAATTGCTGGGCAAAATCAGAATTTAGTGCTGGTCAGTACGTAATTGAATGCAATACACTGTGATACAAGAAAGACTTTGCAATCAAGATGGGCTGTTCGGTCCCTGGAACAATTTTGCAAGAGGTTTATCACCCTAAACACATGGCTAGAACTCTGTATTTCCTTTCCCTAGACAAGGATCTAGTTTTTGAAGCAAAAGGCAGCACTTTAGACTACAGTGTTAGTAAAGAACAAGAGTACAATACTGTTTGCACATGCCAATACAGACAGATGCAATTTGGGAAGGAGTATTTTGCTACACAAAGTGCTTGGTTAATGAGCTCATTTATAAGAAGTAATAGCACAGAGATCCGTGCTTTTCCTTCTTGTAAGAGCGGCCAGCTATCCAAGAGCACTGTCAAGAGAAGGCTCATTTTGTAAAGCTGACATTACACTGACCCACTTTCAAAAGCAGTTATAACTGTCTGTCATCTCAGGTAGCTTAAATATGTCTGTGTTTTACTTGCACAGTGAAGTGAGCTTAAAATCTAGCTCATTTTGCTTTTGCAAGAAAACAGCATCAGAAGAGAACTGGAATATTTTACCAGTTATGACTTCTGTGAAGTCTGACTGCTTGACTCAGCGTTACAGCTCCTACAGACTTTCCAATCTAATTAGAGAAACTAATTATTACACTCACAAGAAATGCACTTTGTGGATGCATGAGTTTTAATAAATAAACCATGTCATTTTATTCAGTGCCTTCTTTCCCTATTGCATGTGACATACATCACATCAGTTACTAGGTTTTTGACTACATCTGCCACAGGTCAAAATAAAGCAAAAAAGGATTAAATTACTGTGTTTGTCATCCTAAGATGCCTTATTTTATAATAAAAATACTTCTCCTGCATACTAAGCTCTAAGGTCAACAAGTGCTGTATGAAACTCATTAAAGTGTAGCTATGTGAACAGAACATCCAGATTTGACTGGCACACAACTTTTCGAACAGTCAAACCTCCTAAGGGGCCAACTAAATTAGGCAAGAGGGAATAGCTGCTTTCTACACTAATACTAGAAATATTGGTGCTTACAACCTAAAGCTGACTGACGTAAATGGGAAGCTTTCTACTGATTTCTTTATTCCCACCCAGGCTAAACATATCATCTGTGTTCCACATAGATAGCTCAGTTTAAAAAAAAGGAGAAGAAAAACAAAAAAAAGTAATTCAGAAGACAATAGAAATGGGATTAACTGAACAGCTCCAAAAGCACAAGGAAAAGCATATTCCAGGAAAAAAGGTCATCTACATCTGTACAGCAACAGAGTATGTTGACAACAAATGCTGCAAGATGGGGACTATTCCATTTCACCCCCAAATCAAAAAGGAGGTGGACACATACAAAAGGTCTCCAAAGCCCTCTGCCTTACTTTGCATAATTTTTTCCATGCAACCTCCCAAATCTTAGTGACCTAGCATGAGGGAATTTATCTATTTACTACCCTAAGCTGAATTTCGAACTTCAGAATAAAGACAGAGTATTCATGTTATATGGAATCATGTTCAGTTCTGACTCAAGTTCAGTTTAGGTTACTGAGTCATTTGGGTGGGGAGGCTGTTCATTTGTCTGGCTTTTTGGTTGGCTGGTTGTTTTTTGTGGGGGCAAGGGAGTGTGAGGGAAGCTGCTTTACTACTTCATGTTACAGATCCAACAAAGTGAGAGAATGAGCTTGGAGTTCCTCCAAAAGGGTGGCAAAATGCGCAGAAGATGATTCTAAAGACTTGAAATTAGTGAGATTGTATACAACACAATACCCTATCATCGGCTTGCTCATCTTGCAAGAATAAAAAAAAAAAAATAAGGCTTTGTGCTGGCAGGGAAGAGAGTGGGTAGGGTCAATGTGGGCAAAACATTTGCTGCTCTGCTGGAAAAGAAGTTCAGAAGCAGAGTTCTCTGTTTCAGATGGGCAGGAGAAAGGCACTGAAATCACATCATCCACATCTTCCATGTACACACACTGGGCAGAAAGAAGGAACAAAGACACCATGGAAAACTTTCTAGTCTGAATTCATTAGGCACAAATATAGACATCATTAGAGTGAACACGTGGACACCAAGGAAATTTGCGATTCTTAAAACAGTATGCAGGCACCATGAAATGGATTCAGCACTCCAAAGGAACATTGCTCCAGCCCCCTGGTTAACAAACAAGAACCACTGCTGAGACACATCATCTAGCTCTCTCTTTGAGCAGTGCTACCTTGGGTGGTTAATTGGATAGTGCCATGGTGTAATTGCACACAACTGTTCAGTGTAAAATCCTCAGTTACTGGAATCAAAACGTTTGAGAAAAATAAAGAAAAACTCCAATAATTGTTTTAAAGTAAGTTGACAAGACATTTTTGCTTCCACTCCACTGAGCAGACTTCTGTCTTTCTTTTCTGCTATAAAGTTATGCTACCAGCACGTCAGTTCCATGACAAAAGACAACCTTAGCAATGCAAGGAGACAGATTCTAACTGCTGAAGTTTCAAACCATCTTTGTTGAGACTCAGTCATCATCTCCCACATCTATTTTAATAACCCACAACTGCCTACCTAGTTTCAAATTTTCAACTTTAAATTAGTCTAGTAGCTGTTACACAGTTTTGAGGGATGGTTGCAGTGCACCGACACCTCCCATGAAGCAAAACATTCGAAATACACATGCACTAAGTAATTAACTGCTCAAGTAGGTGTAAAGCCACAGCAGAGTGTATGTGTAGAGTGCAAAGATGAACAAGAGTCACAGTTACTCAGCAGGGGACACCTCAGAACAAGTGCTCTCTGCCAGCCAGCAGCGAGGGGAGCACACCAGGACAGCAGCCCCGCAGGGCACTCAGAAGCTCTACTGCCCACATCTGTGCCCAGACCTGTTCTAAATTAGCTTTCAGAAAGCCAAACGCACAGAAAGCAGTGGAAATTGTCAAGAAATTGGAACAACTCTTCACCATCTGACCTTTATGGAATAAAATCCCATCAATACCATAACCCACCTCAATCTGTTAAATGCCTTTTGCTGCTGATATTAACAGCCCCAACAATCAGACACTGCCTAAGTGAATCGCTGCATCTGTCAGCTGGAGTCAATCGCTCTCCATTTATCCATTCTAGAATTTTTACATCGTAAAGACACCAAATTAAAACAACATTTAATGGTGTTGAGGGATCTACTGAATAGATATATATACAATTACTCTAAACAAAGGTGCCATTTTTCTGGTGAGAAACTTACTCTCCTGAGCCTGGCCAGCTGGGAGAAAATTGCAGTCTCTTAGAATCTTCCTAGAGCTCTAAACCTCACTGGCACCCTGCTGTATTTCTTGTACACCTGTAATAACTGGTGCAATCACTTTAACCTCTTCCAACTAAGGTAACGGTTCACGACACCCAGACATCACTTCTGATATTAATAAGTGAAGTTTAGCAAAGACACAGAACACACAAAATACTGTGCACGTCTAAACGCAAGACACGGCATTTGCACTGGCAAGAGAATACGTAACAAGAAACAAAATCAAATTAACTTTATGGATTATCAGATCACTTCAAGAATGAGTGACTTTGGGACTGCATTCCCTCTAAAACCTGGGCTATATTTTGGCCTTATTTGTGGGGAATTTACATCCCTGTTAGAATGAGCCTGGTGCACTTCAAATGAATTGACACTTGGTGACCTTTACCAATGCGACTGATATTGCTACATAACTAAAAGCCAGTAAAGCATATGCAGTTCCCCATCTGTATTACAGTCATCGTTGCTGGTTTACATCTGCTGGAATTTAAGCACAAAGACAGACTTGATGGTTTCTAGTACAGCAATTTTTTCCCACCCCCAAAACATTACTACACTATCTAGATTTTATAAAGAGTTGGCAGCTACTTCTGCAGTTAAAGCACAAGAGAGTTAGAAATATGAATGCTGTTTCACTTAATTAGATATTCTATATACAGTTTTTCTTCATCAGCTAATTTATACACATATTAGGGCTGGTTTATTACGCTATTACGTATTTTAGATATGTAAAAATATATTCAATCTGAAAGAAGACAACTTGCAGTTAAAAGAAAAAAATGAATCTGATTAACTTCAAGTTATTTAGGTAAATAAAAAAGCAGCTTAAAAAATACCTCATGCCAGGATTATTAGCCAGCAGTGATCCTGCTACAGCAATGGTGGTAAAACGTTTCAGAAGCATCCTATACAGCCATGGAGTCCTGAGCGATTTTAGCTCTTGCTTATCTAAGTTCATCTACTTTTTTTTTTTTTTTTTTCCTTGGTTTTTTTGGTTTTTTTGGTTTTTTTGTTAATTCTATGCACAGTCTTGTAATGCATCTCAATACTTTACATTATTGGATTCAGAGACAGGTTCCAGCTGTGAAAAACGAGGTTCACGTATTTTTTTTTTGTAGAATTTAGAAGTTTAATAGAAAGATGCTATAAATGAAATGTAGCCAAATTTATCAATAAGAATTTTAATAAGAATTTTGATAAATTGAGTTATGGAAACAACCACAATCACTGTCAGCGTCGATCCCGGGCTCGACATATAACATATATTGCATACAACATTCATTATAATATTTGCAAAAAACCAATGATATAATATGCATTTATAACACACCACATGTTAATGTGTATTCTTAGGGAAAACCTGCTTATTATACGGACAAGAAGAATAATAAAACTGTGCTCGACTTAAGAAGAAATCCCTTCTGTTGCACGATGCGTAGCCACGCCACTCGGAAACCACCCATCCCACATGTTTCCCCTGGGGCATCCATCTTGTTTGGCAAAGAAAACTAAGAATTTAAATTTTAACCACTTTTGCTGACAAAAGAGTCCAGTTTGAGCTGACGGGGAGCTCAAGGAAGGTGATTCCCCCTCAGGCGCCCATTCCCCCACACCGACCCTTGCAGCAGGGCTCCTACCTCCTTCCTCCTCGCTGCCCAGACCCACCTTTTCCCTGGCGCGACCTTTGCTGCTCCCGGCCACTGCTGCCAAAAGCCCTGCTGTCAAAAAAACCCCAAGGGTCTGGACTCTTCTGGATGTTAAAAGAAGTAGCCAAACCTTTATTCGATGGCAAAAATACCAACAGGAGTAGGAAGGCAGGCTAGCCTGACTCCCTGCAACTCACAACCCGACGAGGAAGGAGAGCCCCCAACACAGCTGTGCACAAGGTTATATACCGCTTGAGCCCCAGGGGAGGGTACAACTCAGGGTCCAATGAGGGATCAGGGGAGGAGGAGTGAGGGGAGGCGGTTACACTACTGGTGACCAACAGGGACATGTCATGGGCGGGACGGCAACTAGGGAACCAATCGCGAACCGAAGTAGGGGTGAGGAGCATGGAAGGTTCTGGAAGAAAGGGTCGGGTTTACAATGATGGATAGGGGGATTAGGGCAGGCCGGGGTGACGGGCAGGGAAGGTTCGGGAATAAGGGGAGGGGTTTACATAATTGACAACTGGGGTCAAAACCAATACACTTAATAGGGGAGAACAAGAACATACTAAAAGACTAACAATTACAATCATAATACTATAAATACTTATAACACTGCTCTCCTCGCCGCCTCAGCACGCGATGGTGCCGCTCTTCCTTCCTCTGCTTCGGCCATGTCGCGATGCCTTCCCACAGCGCTGTCCGGACCGCACCGTGCTCCCCATTCCAGGAGAGGCCGCTTCAGCACTTGAGGCAAGCCGACACTATGGCTGGAAGTACCCGAGCCCACAAACGATCAAAGAGCAGCAGTAAAGCCCTCTCTGTGGCCAGAGAGCAGGGCACCCAGAGGCGCT